CCACATAGAAGGCATGAGCGTTCTCGCTCCCGGTCCATTTCTCGCGGGCATGATGATCGTCCTAGATCAAGGTCCCCTAGAGGTCGAAGCCATGGACGAAGTCATCGAGAGGACAGCTATGATGATGGACGGCATGAGAGAACTGATAGGCGAAGGGACCGTGATGAGAAACGCCAGAGAGAGCATTATTCTGTGGTATGTTTTGCATCTTTCTGTTCAACCTAATTGCCTATGTGTTTACTGTATGCAGGATGACTTACTGAGTATGGTGTTCTTTTGTAGGCCCCATCTGCAACTATTGTTGTGAAGGGTCTTTCACAGAAGACGACTGAGGAAGATCTATACCAGATCCTTGTAATATGTCATCTGATGTTTTGTTATGAATACCACATTTCTACTTCTCTCTACGTTTTGATAACCTTGCAATTTGTATATCCTTCAGACTGAATGGGGACCCCTTAGACATGTCCGTGTGATCAAAGAACGTAATTCTGGCATCTCTCGTGGATTTGCTTTTATTGATTTTCCTTCTGTGGTATGTATCATTCTTTTCGTATAAATGTTTTGCATTTGATTTGAATACAAATAATTCACAATGGAGTTTCTGTTTGTTTAATAGGGAGCAGCATGCGCTATGATGGACAAGATTGGGGATGATGGACTTGTGGTGGATGGCCGAAAGCTTTTTTTTGAGTACAGGTGTTTTTTTGTTGGTCCTACTTTACTGGATGAAGTCTTAATATAACCATCACCGAAGTGTGGTAGCATTATTTTGTCATTGTGAAATATATATATATACAAAGAGGGACACCCTTGTAGGGCTCACTCCACATTGTATTTCGCTATTCCTAATCGTGTATTTTATATATCCTGTCTTTCTTAACTGATGACAAAATAGATACAAGAAGTGAGTAGAACTCGAATTCAAGAGAACTGGAAATGCAGATTTACAAAACTATTGGGTTGGAGAGGGATGATCGTGTTCTTAGTTGTTTGAACCCCACTGGGAAATGCCAGTTTGTTTTCTCGGGTGGTGGTAAGGGTAAAATTTAGTAGAGGTGAAGAAGACTGCATAGTTAACGTAAACAATAAAGGACATCTTGCATGATGTGCGGATACTAAATGCCTCAATAAATGAAGGATTTTCTTTCTGTGTCAGATGTATTCTCAGCTGTCAGATGATGCAAATGCTGAAAGTGTGGTTTTGTTTTTGTCCCTGGAATGGGACCCATATTATTTTTCTATGAGTGTACTTATTTCCATTTTGAACTGTGTTTTGTTGCAGTAGTAAGCCGACTGGGGGTGCAGGTGGATCTTTTGGTCAGGAGAATGCTGTGAAATCAGGCCATAATAACCGTAAAAGCATCACAGTGCCCTCTGATTGGATGTGCGTTAGTTGTGAATATGTTAATTTTGCAAGGCGGACATCCTGCTTGTAGGTGTGTTTTTTTTTTTTTTTTTTTTTTTTTTTTCTGTTACAAGGTATTAATTTCTTTTTGTCTTGATATATTTTGACGAATTAACCCTCCATCATGTAATAGTAAAGTGCTAAATGCATACCAACAATGTTGCCTTTTCTGGGAAGAACAGCTGCACTTATGTGCTTGGAAATATTCCATTATATGACTTAAGGTGGTTTTGTTAAAGACCTTCTGTGCTTTTGTGGTAGAATTTCAATTCTGCTATGTTTAGATACAGTGCTTTGGGAACGAAATCTTTTGTGTCCAAGTAAATATGTAACTATGGTACAATAGAAAAGAAATTTTTATTGTTTTATTATTTTAGAAAACAAAATTTTCAACATGCATAACTGTGTAATGTATGTGGATTAGTTTATTTTTTCTTAAGAATAATTAATGTAAGTTGATTATCAAAAAAGGAAAAAAAAAAATTCATGTAGGTTAGTGAGTCTCTGTTTTCCTCCTTTGTTGCAGTGCAATAAGGCACGAACTGAGGATGCTCCGGCAGCAGATATTTCTTTATCCAATCAAATGACTTCAGCAAAGAAAGGATCTGAAGCTGGTTAGTCTACCTTGTTTCTTTTAGCTGGCGTAATTAAGTATTAATTTTTATGAACTTAACTGAGTATATATGTTATTAGGTCCTACTCATGTTTTGGTTGTTCGTGGACTGGATGAAAATGCTGATGAGGATATGCTGCGCTATGAATTTTCCAAACATGCCGCAATTAAGGTGCAAATGCTGAACAAATTGAATTCTTTTTATTTATTCATTTAGTGTCATCTTGAAGTTAAACAAGACAGATTTTTTTTTTCTATCTAGCATGTGCATCGGAGATTTATTGATATTATTTTGCAGGATCTTCGTCTTGTTAGAGACAAATTTACTCATGTTTCAAGGGGATTTGCATTTGTACATTTCCATTCGGTATGCCAGCTTTTTTTCCCTCCCTTTTCCGTTATTCAGTTGGTTAAATGTTGTAATTTTATTGTCTTCCATTTTTTCTGGTATTCATTTGCGTGGCCTTAATGTTCTGATTCAAGAATTTAAAGACACTGAAGTTAACTGATGTTAGGGACGAGGAAAGGATGTGAGCTGTTAAAATCACGGAACTTAAATATAAAAGAAAATGCTACTTATCTCCCAACTTATATTT